GCAATTTCAGAAAGAGAAATTTGAATTGGAGTCGAACAGGACGCATAGCAAGTCAAAATGAAAATGCTGGTCCAAGTTATATTTTCAGAAAGGGGTAGAGTTCAATCAGAGTTTAAACAGAATGCATAAGACTTCAATTGGAGTAAACAGGACTCATAGCAAGTCAAAATGGATTTGTTGGTCCAAGTTATATTTTCAGAAAGAGGTAGAGTTCAGTTAGAGTTTAAACAGAATGCATAATGCCTCCACAAGTATTTGCCATTGTCAAACCTGCCGACTTCAAGCCAGCAAACTAAACCAACTATGATTACACTTGTTTGATCCCATTATAGAAACAATTGTTCCATTTACACCTTACGTCCATAAGCACTATTGTGATACTTAATAATATCGTTTGTTTCACATGTTCAAGTAGAATGTTGAGGATTCAAAAAAATGATAGTTTATATCTATTTCCTTCCGATAATGATATTTATCAACATGAGAAAAGAAATAGCTGCAGATTAATGAAATTGTGTTGCTATAGGAGCAAGAAGAGTACCTGATTGCAATGTCCATCAACCATATTAGGAGAAGGCATTTTATGAGAAAGATCATAAATAGACAAGATATCCTTCAATATGCTGCTTATATTAAGCTAAAAAAGAGTCCTGACAGCTACAATTGAACCAGAAGCAAGTGTGACAAGTAGCCCAATCAAACCCTGTAAACCAATATGGAAAAAGTTTGAATAAATAGACATGGTAGGATATTGAGGACAACCATCACACAAAACATAAATAAAGAGACTGCATATGGTGTAAACTGGTTGGCACAAGATGGTTCGACAATTCAAGTCTATCAGATGTGTAGCTTGATGAATCAGTCCATGTTTACAAAGTTCGTCCAACATATCAGACGTGTGGCGTGCTCCTTCTGCTATCTTTATCAAGCAAGTGGCTACATTTTCAATAAGCTGAGAATGACATGGAAAAACAAGAAAATGTTAAAAAAATTATAAGATCAAATATTCCAGTGACAAGATAACCCGCACACACAAAAACATGATACAAACCTACCGATCCTCATACTGAAGAAGTTTACACAATATTGGAACTGCCTCCATTAAAGGTGCAGGACATTCAGAAGGAAGTTTCTTACACAAATTGACTACAGTAGAAAGTGCAAAAATTGAAAAGGAAGACACAACTAGCTTCACAGGTATCGAAATCCATGTGACCCAAAAATTGCTTTAACCATGAAATTTTCATCACTAATTAAATAAAAATTGAACTGTGTCAATTGCGATTTGAAGAAAAGAATGTCAATACTACTGACTTTATTTTATTACTGGGGTTCTTAAGCAGTATTATAAAAAAAACTAGTCAACAACATCGCCATATATATATATGTAGAGAGAGAGAAAGGGGAACATAGAAAGTCTAAGTCCTCATCTCTTACATTGTAACAATTTTTGTTCTCTGTCGTTCCATTACTTGTTCTCAAAAACAAAAAAATAAGCAAACGGCAATAACATCAACATCTGGAAGGTGAAAAAAGGAAACCAAAATGTGAAGAAAATCATGGAAATTAATAAAGCATTTGAGTGACATACAGACACAGAACACATGCATTGCAATCAACATCAGAAAACAGAGACGGAAACAGAAAATCAAGAGAGGAAAAGAAAGAAGACCTGTAACGGGAATGGAAACAGAAAATCAAGAGAGGAAAAGAAAGAAGACCTGTAACGGGAATGGAAACAGAAAATCAAGAGAGGAAAAGAAAGAAGACCTGTAACGGGAATGGAAACAGAAAATCAAGAGAGGAAAAGAAAGAAGACCTGTAACGGGAATGGAAACAGAAAATCAAGAGAGGAAAAGAAAGAAGACCTGTAACGGGAATGGAAACAGAAAATCAAGAGAGGAAAAGAAAGAAGACCTGTAACGGGAATGGAAACAGAAAATCAAGAGAGGAAAAGAAAGAAGACCTGTAACGGGAATGGAAACAGAAAATCAAGAGAGGAAAAGAAAGAAGACCTGTAACGGGAATGGAAACAGAAAATCAAGAGAGGAAAAGAAAGAAGACCTGTAACGGGAATGGAAACAGAAAATCAAGAGAGGAAAAGAAAGAAGACCTGTAACGGGAATGGAAACAGAAAATCAAGAGAGGAAAAGAAAGAAGACCTGTAACGGGAATGGAAACAGAAAATCAAGAGAGGAAAAGAAAGAAGACCTGTAACGGGAATGGAAACAGAAAATCAAGAGAGGAAAAGAAAGAAGACCTGTAACGGGAATGGAAACAGAAAATCAAGAGAGGAAAAGAAAGAAGACCTGTAACGGGAATGGAAACAGAAAATCAAGAGAGGAAAAGAAAGAAGACCTGTAACGGGAATGGAAACAGAAAATCAAGAGAGGAAAAGAAAGAAGACCTGTAACGGGAATGGAAACAGAAAATCAAGAGAGGAAAAGAAAGAAGACCTGTAACGGGAATGGAAACAGAAAATCAAGAGAGGAAAAAAAAGAAGACCTGGTCACCTTTAGGCACAGTTTCAAACCAATGACACCCCCAAACAACAATAGAGAAAAAAATATATTCAAAAAATGAGAGGGCTTTGGATGTAATTAGAGAGAGAGAGGGGAGGCATACAGTCGTCACTCGCCGTCGCCGTCGTCACTCGCTGCTCCCTCGCTGCTAGCCGTCGTCGATCACCGTCGTCCATCACCGTCGTTGAATTTTGGCTCAAGGGCTTTGGGGATTTTGTTCCAAATGGTTTTGGGGATTTTGGTTTTAAAGTTTTTAGGGATTTTAGGTTGGTTCAAAAAGGTTTGGGGATTTTGGGGAAACAGATGACCGCGAATAGGCTAAAATGAGCGGGATAGAAAAATTTTCATTAGCGATGGGGTCACCACCGTCGCAAAAGACCATTTTTTGAGACGGTTTGAAAATGCCGTCGCAAAAAACCATTTTTTGAGACGGCCTGAAAATGCCGTCGCAAAAGACCATTTTTTGCGACGGTACCTATACCGTCGCAAAAAGTTCCGTGTTATTTGGGCTCTTTTCTTGTAGTGATTTGTGATTTTTTTTTATTATCATTATGTTTAAATAAATGTGTACATTGTGCATTGAAGGGTGTTTTTTATATTCTATTGATTCAGCAGTGCCAATGTGATTGTTCATGTCCAAACTGAAACATCCATAATGGAGACAAAACTCATAAGCTGCTATATTATGTGTTCATGTGCAAACTCATTTATTGTTCTATTAACTAAAAAAGAATAGTTTGTTTCATTCTCATCTTAAATAGTTTGTTTCATTCTCTCTTCAAAACTAACAGTATTTGATTTGCTTGATGGTGTGAAAACTCTGCTTAATTAATGATATGCTAAATTCATTACTTTATAATAATAAAGTAGTTCCTCTTAGGTGTGTGCAAAACTACGATGACAGTAGGAAACCTAAAGGAGAGTGGAGGGAGAAGAATGAGTATTAACAGAGCTTAACTCCATTTCATCATTTCAAATATTATGAATTTCAGTCCATATTTCAACACAACGATAGGTCACACCTCTTTTTGCTTGTTTCATTGTTATCTTTAAGGGTCTCTCAGGAGATCGAAATACATTATATTTCTTCCACGTTTTTGCTTGGACTTTTCCGAAAAACAACAAATCAATATATGCTATTAGTTTTTTCCTGTTTAAGAAATTTATTGTCATATTTTCAACATCCGAGGCTACAAAAGCTCTCATAGGAAAATTTTTACCCCAGTCTACATTAAATCAATTATTAGACCACTATTCAAATTAAGTTCAAATCACTATTTAAGATGAGACAAAACTCATAAGTTGCTATATCATGCAACTCAAATTTATTGTTCTATTAACTAAAAACGAATAGTATTGTTTGGTAAGAGTTCATGAACTCAAACATTTATACTTTTGTAGTGTAAACAAATTTTCGTAAGAGATGTCTAAATACTTCAAGTGGTAATGAATGTAATGGCTTTTTTTGTTTGATGAAGTGGCAATGATTCATTTGCTTAAGAGTTGAATGTAATGGCTTGTGACCTACTTGTGAATGAGTATGATTTATTTACCATACAACAACTAAATTGAACTCCAACGAACAACATCAATGCTAATTAAAATGCATTCATAATGGTAATTAAATACTTCAAGTGGTAATGAATGTAATGGCTTTTTTTGTTTGATGAAGTGGCAATGATTCATTTGCTTAAGAGTTGAATGTAATGGCTTGTGACCTACTTGTGAATGAGTATGATTTATTTACCATACAACAACTAAATTGAACTCCAACGAACAACATCAATGCTAATTAAAATGCATTCATAATGGTAATTAAATACTTCAAGTGGTAATGAATGTAATGGCTTTTTTTGTTTGATGAAGTGGCAATGATTCATTTGCTTAAGAGTTGAATGTAATGGCTTGTGACCTACTTGTGAATGAGTATGATTTATTTACCATACAACAACTAAATTGAACTCCAACGAACAACATCAATGCTAATTAAAATGCATTCATAATGGTAATTAAATACTTCAAGTGGTAATGAATGTAATGGCTTTTTTTGTTTGATGAAGTGGCAATGATTCATTTGCTTAAGAGTTGAATGTAATGGCTTGTGACCTACTTGTGAATGAGTATGATTTATTTACCATACAACAACTAAATTGAACTCCAACGAACAACATCAATGCTAATTAAAATGCATTCATAATGGTAATTAAATACTTCAAGTGGTAATGAATGTAATGGCTTTTTTTGTTTGATGAAGTGGCAATGATTCATTTGCTTAAGAGTTGAATGTAATGGCTTGTGACCTACTTGTGAATGAGTATGATTTATTTACCATACAACAACTAAATTGAACTCCAACAAACAACAACAATGCTAATTAAAATGCATTCATAATGGTAATTAAATACTTCAACAAGTTTTGTGCAACATCAACATCAACATCAATGTTAATTACTTCATTCATAATGGTCCAAAGAACAGTTTCACCATTCATGCAAATCTCATCTCAATTAAAATTCATTCATAATAGTCACTACAAAAATTCAGCATGAAATTTGAAGTCACCACAAAGCTTTACTACAAAAACATAATAGATGCATAATAGATGGTGTGTTGTTGTTGCATATCAGAGGCATCTCCTATGCATGAAATTTGAAGTGCCTTCCACCTCTTCACGGACATCCAAACCCTGAAAAAAAAAATTGACAAACAACAAAAATTCAGCACCAAAACAGTGTTTTAGCAGCACAAAATCAGTACAAAAATTGTATTTCAGCAGCATAACGTGACAGTATTTCAGCACCAAAAAATGACCAAAATATAACAAAATTCAGCACCAAAAAGAGCATTTCAGCAGCACAAAATCAGCACCAGAAATTGCATTTCAGCAGCACAAATTCAGCATCAAAAACAGCATTTTAGCACACAATTTCAGCACAAAAATAATATTTCAGCAGCACAAAATTATTGCAGCTACAAGTAGCATTAATTTCAGCACAAAATTCAATAAAAACAGTACCAAATCAGTAGCAAAAGTACCTCAGTACATAGCAGCAAATTATTTGTTGGTCGAGAACCTGTCTGTGAGCCTTGAGAATCTTGAAACCCAATGTCATACCCACCTTGAAGTATTGTCATAAATTTTGGTTGACCACAATATGCCAAATTGTTTGCCTACAATTCATTCATATTATATTACGATTCATAACAAGATGCAAATGAAAAATTAATTGACAAAACACAAATTAATTGGCTAAAAATCTGACTCACACGATTCATAACAAGATGCAAATGAAAAATTAATTGGCTAAAAATCTGACTCACATTATATGTGGGATATATTAATGGTGGAGGAATTGTATCACCCATGGCAACGAAATGAGGAGGAGGAGGGGGAGCAAGAAGAGGATGAAGAGGAGTAACATTTTCATGAATACTTACATCTCCTCTAATAGATAATGGAGAAGGCCACTTGAACAGGTCACTTTAATGTTTATTTTTTTTTAATAAAATTACAAGTTTTTTTTTTTTTATATTTCATTTTACAATGTGGAGCCAATGCCTTATGGTAAACCATTAACTATGTTCATGGACCTCTAACCAGCCATGAAGCACTTCATGTGTGTGCCCTGAGGTGTGTTTCATAGTGTGCTGTTATGATATATATTACTAGTTTGGATAGAAGATAGGCTTGATCTCCCATACTTTCCATGCAAAGATGACTAAATCCAAAAATAAATAGACTTTACCAAACACCTAGGAGGGGAGGGGGGGATTAATTTGACATGCAAAATGAAGTTTAAGACTTTCTACTGCCACAAAAATTTCAGTGACTTTAAAATGCCAACAATCAGATGCAAGCATGGATTTCTACTTGCTTTCTAAAGACGTCAAGAGTACCATTCAATTTAACCAAAAAATAACACATGGAACAAGAAGAAAACAAGTGCACATGACTGGAATAGTTACTTAAGAAAGTAAAGTGAACAATGCATGGAAAGACAAGAAAATTCAAAAACAAACTTGTGTTGTTTAGGTCTATTCTTCAAAATAGAAGGCATAAAAATGAATATGTGCAAACTCTTTTGACAGCAAAATGAATTGGGTATACTTGACATACCTACAGATTCACTTGTTATGAGCACACAATTTAAAATAGAACAACCAGTCTCCAAAGCCTCCAGAAGAAAATTTGAATGCAGACAATATTAGTGATTTTTTTTTTTTTTTGGGTAAAAATGTTCTGTTTCCTCTTGTTTTCTAAATATCATGTACATGCTTTAGGAAAGAATATGTGTACTTCTAAATTGTTTCAAGTTCAAAATATTAGTACAAGTGGAAAATTCTGACAAATATAGAAGCTAATAAAAGCTTAGAATCTCAAAAGACGCTAAAAAAACACAACAATAACAAACTGAGGATAAAATTACCTCCATAAGCAAACGTAACTGGCAAACCAACAAAAATTATTTGAACATGGCAGGATATTTGGGGAAAATTGCTTTCAACATGGCAGATTGTTTGAACATGGCAGATTATTTGGGGAAAAATGCTTTGAACATGGCAGATTATATGGGGAAAAATTAAGGAAAAAAAAATATTACCTTCAGTTTGATGATGAAGTGCAGCTCTGGTTCGTAGGGTCGCCAGAGCTTGTTTCACCGTTGATGTTCGCCGCCGACTTCGATTCGCCACCGATCATCGTCGATGTTTGCCGTCGACTTCGCCAATCGTCCTTCGCCAGAGCTTCAATGAGGGAGGGAAAAAGAACTTCGAAGAGGGAGGGAAAACGGACTCGTGAATAGGAGGGATGCTGCTGCTGGGTTGAATGAAAGAAATTCACTTTTTTTTTTTCTTTTTTTTTTGTTGCATCTGAGCTGTAGATCTTCATTTAAGCGACGTGGCCAAATCGTGGCCCTTGACCGGAGGAAGGGCCGGAGGCTTTGGCTAGAGAGGATCCGGACTCCAACGGCCTCGGCATCACACCTGCACCAATAGTCCGGGACAGATACAGGATTATATCTTTGGGGGGCTATTGTATAGTTTAAAAAATTAGGAGGGCTACTCTATATAATTTTGAAATTATTTACAAAAAATTTCGGGGTGCGAACTCCTATAATTTGAAGTTATTTTAAAATTTTTAATATAATATATGATATTTTTCAAATTTTTGAGGGTGCGGTTGCCCCCCTAGATCCATCATTACTAGTAGTAAGAGTGACATTGAAATTATCAATATATTTATATATTTTACAAAAGAATATTTTTAAGGAGAGATATTATGAGAGTTTTAAAATCTCATACAAAATTATTTTTAAAATCAAAATCTCTATGTGAGATTGTAAAATAAAAGTTAAATGGAAGTTAACCAATGGAGATTTTCTTAATTGTTCAAAATTAAGAAAATAAAAAAAAATTAGTATGAGATATTGATCATAAAATTTCTCACTAAAAATCTCTTTTTACTTATATGAATAGGAGTATAAGATTCACTTTATGTTAGTGAAACAATTTACTTTTCCTTTCTTTTTTTCTGATTTGAGATTGTAAAATAAAAAGTAAATGGAAGTTAGCCAATAAGAATTTTCTTAATTATTTAAAATTTAAAAAATTTAATAATTTTAGAATGAGTGTTTAGAGCTTCTAAAAGATTTCTACCTAAAAATCTCATTTTCCTTATATAATATATAAGTTTACGTTTATTGCAATTAAAACATGTGAAATGTTACTATACACATGAGTGTATCATATACGCCCCTCGTTATTATAATTTTTTGTTTACTTATAAATTTTTTAGTTATTATAATTTTTTGTTTACTTATAAATTTTTGTTTATTGCAATTAAAACATGTGAAATGTTACTATACACATGAGTGTATCATATACGCCCCTCGTTATTATAATTTTTTGTTTACTTATAAATTTTTTAATTATATTTTATGTAATATTTGGTTATATATATACTTTTTTTTGGAATTATGACGTAGAAAATATAGAGTTATGTCATTTTGTTATTTATGAGAGGTATATTTTTCTTAAAATATATTATCCACTAATTATATAAAAAGCATTGTTATTCAAGATAAAAAAAAAATTAAACTTAATTTTTACACTCAGTGACAACCAATAATGATATTAAAAGTAATATTTTTTTCTCATATTATTTTTAATTATTAATTAACCATATTATTTATATATCATTAAATTTATAAAATAAATTTAAAAAACGAGTTTGTAAATCATTTTACCTTGCACAATTTTCTATAGCCACGATAATTACAGTAAACTCTAAAGACAAGTAACAAAAAAACAAAATAAAAGGCCAACATTTTGGCGTGTGTTATTCCATGCGACACCGTTTTCTCAAACTATTGATGATGAAATACAACCAAACGACTTGGCCAACGCTGTTGCCAGGTGGGACCTAGACCACAACGGCCTTCGCATCACACCAGCACCAGCACCAGCACCAGCACCAGCAGCCTTCCCTCTTCCTCTGCCGCCGCCGCAACCAGCACTCGATACCATCTCTCCTCCCTCCGACATCGGCGGAATCTTCATCGGAGGTCGGTTCCCCTTCCTCTTCTTGATTTCAACAGCATCCATCTCCGGCTTAAACTTCATCGGTCCAAACATAAACATCCTCCTACGCGACTGCGCAGACATGGACGTAATAGCGCTGATATTCACCTTCTGAACCGGCGATCCCTGCTTCGAATAATTGCTCAGATCCAAGAACGAGAACCGGAGCGAGATCGACCGGTTCCTATTCACCGTCCTTCCATCTCTATCCTCTCCTCCAACACGCGGTTTATGAAACGACGCCGATTTCACCCCCAAATCTCGCTTCCGATACTCGATCTCACGATAAACGTTGTTTCCGAAGAAGACGACGCTGTTGTTTCGGCTCAATTCAGAGTCCGTAGCGCCGCAGAACTCGAATCGGTCTTGATCGGAGGAATTGCTTCGGCGAGAGGGGTCCTCGAACTTGTAGCCTTGAATTGGGAGGTTGCAGAGAGAGATATCGTCGTCTGCGTCTCCAGAGTCTAGAGACAAGTCTTCGAAAGCAGGTTTGTGCATGTCTTCCATTGTTGAAACGAGAGAGTGTAGAAGAAGAGAGAGAAAATGAAAGATGTGAAGAAACGTAGCTTAATGTGGTTATATATAGAAAACTAGAGACAGAGAGAGAGTGAGAGGATGGTAGCTTTGGAGTCACGGCTTCTAGAGAGAGAGAGAGAGAGAGGGGGTGTTGATAGAGACTTTGGAGAGAGAAGACATCGGAGACAGGGAAAAGACAGAGGTCTGGTAAAGGATTACTAGAAGAAACAACTAATCGTCAAGAAATGTACAGACAATTTAGGGATACGTAAGAAAAATGCATTCACATGCTAATATAATAAAGACTGTATATTGACATGAATAAATTACAAATTGAATTATTATTATTATTATTATTTATCTAGAGTTTCTTTTGCCTAGGACAATTACTAATTCTCGAAAGTTTTGAAATTTGTGACCACATTTTTTTTCATTTTGGTTAAACTAAAAGTTTTGGTGAGGAGAGGCAACCTAATTAGGCCAGTACAAGTCGCAACTCTCAGCAATGATTTACATTAAATTTATAAATTGTTTATCAAAGAAAATTGCTGACAATAAGAATCGAACCTAAATCGTGACGGTGAACTGTTCCCCCTTTACCAATTTAACCAACCTTCATTAGCATGACCAAATCCTTTGGAAGACATGAACTTCATACTTTAACTTTTAGAAGGAATAACACACCAGTGAGTGCAAGAAAAATTATTTACAAAAAAATAAAAAAAAAATTATGATTTCAAATATTAATATTTATACTTCTCATATCTAACTTCATTTGTAATTTTCTATTAATTTGCTTCTTATATATAATGATGTCATTATTATACTAAATATTTGTTGTTAGTGAAGAGTTCAATAAGAAAAAAGTATACCAACTATGGCATTATTAGTTGTGTTGCAAATTGAATTATTATTATTTTCTTCAATGTGAGTGAATTATTACAAATATGAGAAGTATTACATGAAACTGATCATTAGTCTAACAATAATTAAAAATCAAACTTCTGTTTATGGAAGTTAAACTTGAAACCTTACATTTTAAAATAGTGTTGCATAATTATTAGACCAAAAGCCTTGATTAATAAGTAATTAGAATACTTACTGTGAATTTTATCAAAAATTTAAATATATAATGAAAATTTTATTTGATGTGTTGTGAATTACATTTAAAGTAAATAAATTATTTCAATATATAGTATTTTTAAAAATCATCATTTTCTTTTAAGGCCTCGTTTGGGAACATATTAATTTAGTAACTTTTTGGCTATTTGGCTAAAATATGAGCTAAAAAAAACTAGTATGTTTGGAATGACTTTTTGACTTTTTACGAAAAGATATACAAAAAATAGAAAGGAAAGAGAATTTTTAACTTTTTAATGTGTTGTTGACTTTTTAATTTTTTTAATGACTTTTTAACTAAAAAAATCATTTACCAAACGAGACCTCACTCTCACTTCCACATCTCCAGTTGGTATGCTATCCGACGTATTTATCACTTGCTCTGTGATATTTGTCTTCTATCCGACGTATTTATTTATTTATTGTGTAATGTTAAAATTGAGTGAAATAATGTACTTCTCCAATGTAGTGTGCCTGTCAAGTGGGCAGTGATTGAGAGCATTGAGCTCCTAGCGGTGTTTTAGAAAGTTGGTAACAAATTAATTTTTTAATTTTTTTAATTTTTTTTTATAAAAAAGTTGATTTTTTTGGATTCGTTTGTCATGAAAGTTTGGGTTGGATTAGGTTGGGGCTATTTTACAAAATAAGTTTTTTAATCCAATAAGATAAAATGTCATGTCCAAATCATAATTATTTTATTTTTTCTCTCACAAAAGTTAAAAAGCCAAAAAATCCAAACGAAACTTTTTAACCACAGACTAAAATAGTTAAAAAACTAAAAAGTCAAAAAACCAACTCACATCCCAAAGAAAGGCTTTATAATTTTTTGTGTAAAAAAATTAAAAAGCTACAAAATTAGCTTTTTTAGCTTGTTCTCAAAACCCCTAAATGGAGTTCTATACATATGGCATTGAAGAGAAGAAAAATAAAAAATAAAATAAAAATATCAAAACATCACATCAATAGATAGGTTCCACCTCCTAGAACTCTTCTAGAGCTTCCAAACATTTTTGTTTATGTTATCCTATAGACTAGTAATGATGATGCAAAACATTAAAACGTTATATATATAATAAAAAGGAATAAATTATAAATACACTTCATGAATTGTAATTCAAGGTTATTTATCTAAATCCGACCTGAGTTAAATCCGAATTATTCGGATTGTACATAAATTTTATTTATTTATTTTTAGTGCAGCTAAATTAATTAATTAATTAAAATTACACTATATTTACATTTTTTTTATAAAATATATCATTAATAATATCAAAACAAATCATTTATATAATGTAAGAGAGATGCCACTATGATGGTCTTTACATAAGTTGTGTTACGTTACTTGTGTATATAATATATATTTAATATGATTTAACAAACTAAATTACTTTAATATCATCAAATGATTAATAATTTATATATATATATATATATATTTAATATTTTTATATGCATAAATCGGGTTTCAGGTTGTCTGATATCTTTATCCAAACCCGTCGTAATTCGGGTTTCTAAATTTTTTTCTAAACCCGTACCATTTTTTTTTTTTTTGGATCAAGCCTAAAAAAAAATCGGACTGGGCTCGAGTTGCTTGGATTAAATCTATCCAAGTTGCATCCGTAATTGAAATTGAAAGGATCATAGTAAGTCATATCATTTTGTATAAAAATTTCATTTATAATCACCTTATTTGGTTTCATTTATAGAATATTAAGAGGGTGATTTATGATCTGGAGTTGGGCCGAGGTAGCGACCGAGCAGGTTGAGGGCCCAACGGTGCATGGGGCCGAGATGACCGACTATCCGCCCAGACTTGGGCTGGGCAAAACGTGGGCCGAGTGTGTGCCGCCCCAGACCGTAAAGAAACTGTCCGGCAAGGCAGT